AACAGAGCTGCTAGTGGCACTGGTGGCGGACCAGCGCTCCATTTATTATTAACTGACCTTGAACAAAGGGTCATGCAGATAATTGGAGTGCAGGCAGCTACTGGCATGGAAATAAAAGAAGCTGGGTTTCCACAAGTTAGCTATACTTTACATTTAAATTGTGCAATAAATATTGAATGTAGTAAGTATTTTTTTTTTTTTTCAGGAAGAAATTTCAACTGAGAGGCCAAATACTGAAATTATTTTAAAGGAACCAGAAATAGGTACGTAAGCACTTTTAATTTTAGATTTATTGAAGTTTATTGTTCCTTAATATTGTATCTTTATACATGAAATAAGAAGGATATCACAGCTATGATATCTCTCTTCTATATCGTTCCCTCACTACTGAAGATCGCGACCACATGCGATGTACTTCCAATGCACCCGATCATGGGTGGCATGGACTGCATGGTACAAACTACCACTAAAAAATGATTAAAACTAAATGATATCTATGATAACCTAAATGAGACTAATTGTATAAACTGGCTTATTACATATTGGAATAATTTATAGATTGGAATACTCCGAGCACAAGCAGCCAACCAACAGTGGCTCCACTGCCACAAACTGAGGCTTCCCCTCCAGTCATTGACGAAGAGGAGTGGAACCCTCCACCACAAAAAAAAAGAAAAAGCAATTTGACAAAAATGTTTTTAGATATAGACAGAAAGACAAGGGAGTATGCTTCAGAGCGTGATAGGGTATATGAGGAATTAGAGAGAGATCGGTTGAGAGTTAGAGAATTTGAGGTACGAGAAAGAGTACGACAGCAAGATGAAGAGCTACGGATGCACGGTCAATGGCTGGAATTTATGAAAGAGGCAATGGAAGCTTTTGTGAGGTTTATGGAGAGAAAGTCAAGTTAAGCTTAATTACTATATTTTTTTTACCAATTACTTTTATTTTACCAATTACTTAATTATTTTATTTTATTTTACCAATCACTATATTTTTTACAACTTTAATAAACAAAAGTAAAATTATGTATGAAGT